GCAACCATTCCTTGACATTTCTTTTCTACTACTAATCCACCATCATGATGCTGCTGGCAACTTCCTCAATCTCTTCACTGATGAGTTAGGATACCTAAGCTTTGCTTCTTCTACACAGATAACACAATAGTTCCTCTTTACTCCTTCATACTTGCCACTACATCTTTCTTTATGTGGCTTTGACATTACCTTTCCATGAGCAATGGTGCTCGTCTTCTTCTTGTTCACACAGAAGAAAGAACAAATCCCGCAATAGCAAGGGTGATATTTTCCATTCTTTGAAGTCTGAGGCATCCATTCTGGCTTACTAGAACCTTCATCATATGCAGCTTTCCAGTCCATTTCAATACCTCTATTCATCAATGCAATGCCAAGATGAGATTGAAACTTGTTTTGATTTGTATATCTTCTATTCCTTCTTCATAAACTTGTCACATGCTAGGCTACTAGTGATAATTATGTAGCAGGCGCCTACCACTCCATCAAGCAACCAGAAGAAAATACAAAGGTACCATCTGATACCCATCTGCATTCTTCATATAGCTTCTTGTTGGTCACAACTTTCATTGTAGTGTAGAAGTTGTCCGTGAACAGTCGACGACCATTTTGTTGTCCAAGATTGGATTGACGTACCAACTGCTGAATAGTATCCCATGTAGACCCACTACTAGTAATACCAGTGTAGATCTCAAATGCAATTAAGTTCCCAGTGTCAACGTCATACGCACAGTACACCTCAATATCATGTTTGATTGGCTTCTTGGGAAGATACTGGACAAATTGAATGCATCTTCCTTTGTAAACAATCATAGACTCATCAACAGATAGGTCAATATTTGCATGCCACCCAAGACGAAGACAATCAGCAATTTTCTCCATCACAGTACGGATTTTGTAGAGTGTTATCAGTATCCTTAGCTTTGCTTCTATTGTCACCAAAATGAATATATCATTTAACAAAGCCGCACCTGTTCTTGCTCATGATTGTATTCCTGACCATGGGAACATACTACACATCACCATCCTCAAGTCAAGTCTGAAGAATTTGGGGAGATTCTTTTGAACCGCCCAAACCTCTATAGCAGATGGAAATACCTTCATTGATCTTTGACTGAATGTAGAACACACTTTTGTTTGTTGGGATTGGTGACATCACAGAGCTTGAGAATCTTTGTCTTCTTTACCCTTCCATTAGCTAGCATCAGCAGCTTCAACTTCTGTCACCACCCAATCTTCAAATGCATACCAGTTGGAATCATTTGCTACTATCATCTGAAGGATGTTTTCATCAAACAAGAACAAGAACAAATGCTCCAACCCCTCCACCTTATTAGTGCAGCCATCCAATGAATTGCTTACAGCATACTTTTTGATGATCAGATATGGATCCATGGTCATCTTGGGTGGGGCTCCTAGTACTATAAGGGTACAGGCCACCACCACTGTTGTCAGATAGGTCTGCATCATTCTTAGGAGTATGACCATACGGTAGTACGAACAATTGTTGTCAAGAACCATCACACACCAGAAAAGAAAGAATCATCATCATCCATCTTATTAATATGATGATTATTTTATGTTGGTAAATATGATGGTTTGGTTTATAGTTTATATTCTGGTATGGAGTGTTTTATATTTTCTTGGTTGGATATTACAAGCAGAGAAATGAATGAGCAGAAAAGGTGTTTTATATAAAGTTATTTCAGTCTTATTTTGTGTAGGCTTTGTACTGCAGTCTACACAAGGGAAAATCATGGAAACTTCAAAAAAATTCCAAAAAATGCACGATTTGGGCGGAGACGGGAAAAAGTTAACAGAGGGAGAATTAGTTCTTACCTGTGAACGGCAATTTTGAGCTGCTCAACGGCTACAACGTCTGTTTAAATTTCTCGATTGTTTTCGTCTCTGTACCAGTACACAATGACCATAGCACAAAAAGCTCAATGCCGAGAACCGATGAGTTGCGACGACGCCCATTGTTAATGTTGATGCTGAAACTCGTGGGTGAAAGGTCGGTTTGACGNAGTATCAATATTGCTTGGGAATTTTTTGTATTTGTTTATAATTTGAGCTTACTACATCATATGCATTTTTTTGTGAGTGTGAAAAGCTTGAATTTTCACCTCTCCTTTTGAATCAACAGGAGGGAGTTGCAAAATCGTTGCATCTACAGTTTATTTTGTACTGTATTTGAGCAACCAAAAGAGGTACAGAAATGACCAAAACAGAAAAGCTGATACAGCTGCACAGTATAATTCCTACTACAAAATATATACCATCAAAGTACTATCATGGTGGTAAATAGAGTGGGACGAATTAGTGTACTATGCCTAGAACCACAGGACTCCTCCAACTGTTGAGATGTTGGTTGCAAAAATTTGGTATGAGTTAATTGGCAATAAATTTCACCTGATTTTTGGCCAACCATTACTATAACTCTGTCTCACTACTAGTAGTTCTAACCCAGTAGAGCACCATCCTTTGGCTTTCAATGACCTGGATCTTTAAGTGACTGTATCAATTTGGTCTATTACACACTTAGTCTGGTGGTCTAAAGTTGTTTTTTTGATAAAGTTTTGGCCTATTTTCTAAACCAGTAGCTGGTCTTGGAACCCGCCAACTTTTGCCATACCAACTATTAATGGAGAACCAGCTCCCCCCTAGTAGTCTATAATTGTGCAACAGTGACACATGGCACTCTTCTTAACACTATCACTGAGCATAGGGATCTCATTTGAGCCAATTCTGGAGCAGTTCTAGTTGTCCTATTACACTGTTTGCAGTCAAAAAAGTGACCAGCAAAAACTAGTAGACTTTTGTAGAATAACCATGATTTTACTAGTAATATTATTTTTTTGCCTGGAGTAGAATGCCTTTTTCCCATGTAGTAGGGCGTGGTAGGTTTTTAATGGTTAACCCATAATACACTATTAGTACCGATTAATTGGTACCTGTGCAGGAACCATGTCAATTTCAATTTTTGGGAATAAAATTAGATTCCCAGGCCCCCTCCTGGTACTGAAAATTGTGATCAGTTTTGATCCCAAAAAATGTGATCAGAAATAACAAAATTGTGATCAGTTTTTTGTGATCAATCTTGGTCACAAATTTGAACTAATTTGTGTACATTTTATAATAGTAGTCCTGTTTTTATCATATTAGATTCTAATATCTTAATATAATAAATACCAGTATTTTTATACATTTGTACTACTAGTACACAAGTCCTGTACTAAGAACAAAGTAATATGCCTTATTACTAAGAATTAACGCAATGTGCTACTAATATGACTATTAACAATGAATAAATATGTATTATATGAATTGTATTCCCACCACATGTTACTACTACTTTGAGGAATAATAAATTATTCATGTAAGAATAAAGTACATATCAATTCTAATACGTTGAAAAAAATGTGATCAAAACTGATCACAAAAGATTGTGATCAAGAAATTCATCAATCATGGAAGTTGAAGACTGGAATTGTCCTTCTGGAGCTAGGGAGTTTGAGGGTGAGAAAAATGTAAAAACATGGTATCAACAAATTTTTAGTAATGTAAAGCATGTACTAGTAGGTTAAACACATTTTTTTCTGAAAAAATATGAAGTTAAGGGAATGAGATGCCAGCATATAACTGATTGCTGTTGGTTGCATAACAAATGACGAATGAAGCACCAATAACTTTCGACTTCCCCTGGCTGCGCACCGCAAAAGACCTAAGTTTGTGATCATTTCTGATCACATTTTTTTGTGATCAAAACCAATCACATGATGAAAAAGGGGGACCGGAGAATTTAAATTTTTCCAAAAACATCGAAATCGACATGGTTCCATTAACAAAGGGAAACAGAATTAGTTCTTACCTGTGAACGGCAATTTTGAGCTGCTCAACGGCTACAACGTCTGTTTAAATTTCTCGATTGTTTTCGTCTCTGTACCGGTACACAATGACCACAGCACAAAAAGCTCAATGCCGAGAACCGATGAGTTGCGACGACGCCCATTGTTAATGTTGATGCTGAAACTCGTGGGTGAAAGGTCGGTTTGACG